AATCCCAGCACTCGGGAGGCAGAGGCAGGCAGATCTCTGTGAGTTCGAGGCCAGCCTGGTCTCCAAAGCGAGTTCCAGGAAAGGCGCAAAGCTACGCAGAGAAACCCTGTCTCGAAAAACCAAAGGAAAAAAAAAAAAGAGTTACTTGAGCCAGAAAGTTGGTTCAATGGGTAAAGGCACATCATGCCAAGCCTGACTACCTGAGTTGGATCCTCAGGACATACATGGTGGAAGGAGACAAGAGACTCCTACAAGTTAGTTTTCCAACTTTCTGGTCTACACACAGTTCCAGGCCACCCATGGCTATATAGTGAAATTCTGTGTCAAAAGAAAATAAAGAATGTGTGTGCATGTTCACTCTTACAGATTTCTATTTTTGCAGCTAAGCAAACTTTAAATTTAATTTTTCAAGACTTACTTTTTAATTTATGTATATGCATGTGTGGTATGTATGGCACATATGGGTGGGTGCCCTCAGAGTCCAGAAGAGGGTGTTGGATCCCCTGTAATTGGAGATAGAGGCAGTTGTAATCAACCTGATGTTGTAAATGGAACCCTGGTTCCCTGAAAGAGCAGCAAGAACTCTTAACTGATGATCCTCAGTCTCCAAAATTTGGTTTTTAATTGCAGTTAAATGTACATGATGCTAGTATTTTATACATTTGAGTGTAAAGGTCAGTGGCATTAAGTCTTATACACTTGTTATACAAAATCTATCATCCATCTCTGGAATTTTTTCCATCTTGTAAAACTGGCTAACACTTTTCAAGGGTCTCCCCATTTGTCCCCTCCTCATGAGTTCCTGGTCTTTCATTTCTATTAATATCTGATTCAGACTTGTGACAAGGATTTTCTTCAGAACTCCCAGACAAAGCCACTGTATTTTAAACAATTGCTATTTACTGAATGTTCCATTTAAATTTTGTTCTTACAAAACATTGACGGATAGCTTTGATCCCACCTGGGACTAACAGCAGGTGCACACTACGCCATGGCCTGTCACCAGGGCCCACTTGTCTTCCCTAGGGCAGATGTAGACCAGGACTTCAGTCCTTGTTGTTCTTTTGTGGTAGAAAGGTTTCATCCTTGAAGAAAATTATGGCTTAATTTTGTAGCCTGGGCTCCTCTGTTCTTCACCACTGAGAAAACTTAATATGTTCTTGTTCAACGTCTGAAATGGCCCCAGTCATTAAAATCTTTATGTGGGTGTGTAGCGAGTGTGGTGTAGCAAGGCTGTGATGCCCAAGTCAGAGGTGCCAGAATTCCTGATGTATAACTGCCATTTTGAAGTGCTCCAAGATAATAAAGACAACAGCGAAAGCTGCCATGGAAGCCCACTTGAGTTATTATCCATGCCTAATCTTCACCCCCTTTACCCTAGCCAGTTTGTTCTAATCTGCAACTATAGCTTCCTCAATTCCTCCCAGGTGCCGAAACCCTTCCTAACAGGGAAGTAAGTAGACTCACTCTGTATAGCCTCGTAAGCCAAGCCTCAGTGTTTGCATTCCGGCTCTACCGGGAACATCACTGTGATTAAGGGCACCAAGTCTCAATTTTCTCATCTATAAACAACCCTCTCACAGTTTCAGATGGGAAATGAAATGGGGTAATTTATAGGAAGTGATTAGCCAAATGCCTGGCACATGGTGCACTCATGACAGATGGGAGTTAGTCTTAAGATCTGGTGGGAGCTCTGTCATCACACATGAGCTTGACTGGATGTCCATGATTCCAGATCACTAGCCCACATTAACCCGCCTCTTTGTGTCTCACCTGATGTACGTCCTCAGGTTTACTTACCTCTCTGCTAGATTTCCTAATTCTCGACATGTATCCTGTTCTTCTGAATGACTGATGCATGGCTTGTTTCTGACTCTTGGTGATTCAGTGGATTTCTAGGACATGCTGAGACACAGTGGATATCTTATCTTGTAGCTTACCCTCAGTTTCCAGAAACCACCTCTTTATCGGCTTCAAGCGGTCTAACTTGCACAGCTCCATCACCTACTTAGTGGAGTTAACACCTACTACTCAGTCATGGCCCTGAGCCCAAGAGAGGTGCAGAATCTCACCACATCACTCAGCATATTTAAAACACTGTTTCCCCCCACATTTTGACATCCTCATGGGTGAGAATGTCTTCGTTTTCTTTGTTTTCTCAGCACCGAGCAAACACAGCGTCCAGCACACACTAGACATTCAACTAACAGACATAGGAATAAGTGAACGAATCCACGGCACTGATGAAATACTGGGGCACCCCATGTCTGGGGTGACAGACATGCTTTGCTACAATTACTCTTCAGAACAAAAGCCTCATGTTAGATTTGCAATTTTTTTTTAAAGGTGGAAATCTTTGACCTTGCTTGGAAAACTGCTTTGTAATTTGCTTGTTTTCATGTTCCGTGTCCAGCCCCCTCGAGCACTCAGTTAAGAATTAATGTATTCAAACTTTTCTTTTGCAGAGGAAACAAAGTCTTTTAATAGAACCAATCTCTAGCCAGCTAACCATGCTAAGTATGAAATTGTCCCTGGCAGCTGCCGACTATATTGGTCTTTTGGGGCCCTGGCTTTGTTCATTCCTTCATCCCCAGCTATAGAAAAAGCCCTGAGCTGGGATGTATTTTCAACCATGCAGTTTATAAACCAATCCCCAAATAAGGAACTGCTGCTTCTTCAGCTGTAACACCCAGTCTGTTTTAAATGGTAATTGGAGAGAAACAGAATGGAACCATGGATGGTTTCAAAATATTGTTCTTAATTCACTTACTCAGGGCTCTTTCTCTGGAGGAGGGACAAACGTGATATGGCAGAAAAAATGATCACGGGGCGGGGGGGTTCCCCCCTACTGGTGGCAAGACTAGGCTAGATTCAGCAACAGTGCCAGGTGGTCCTTCACCATTGGGCTGCACAGAAGGGGAAGGATGCAGTGGGCTGGAGCAGTGGGTGAAAAGCGTACAGGGAAGAGAAGTGGGCAGAGGAAGGGTCAGGGGTAGAATGTAGAGATGACTGTATGCAATGTGTGTTTATGAGGCTTGGAGCAGAAATGCTGGGTTAGAGTTGACCTTGAATTAAGTCTTAGTGGCTGGGGTGGGGTGGGAGGATGTCTTTCACAGTATGTGCATTCATGTGCTGCTTAAAAAGTTGACACATCTGGGGATTGGAGAGAGAGCGCAGTGATTAAGAGCTCTGGATACTCTTGCAAAGGGACTGGGTTTCGATTTGCAGCACCTACATGATGATTCACACCTTTCTATAATGACAGTTCCAAGGTATCTGATTCCCTCTTCTGGCCTCGTCGTACACAGACAGACATACAGGCAAAACACCCATAAACATAAAAACAAAAAACAAAAACATTAAAAATATGACACATCCCAAAAGACAATCCTACTGTCTCAACCTCCAGAATACTGGGATTATTATAATTGTGCTACCATGCTCAATGTCATTATAAGTTTATAGGACCATGGCTGTATATGTGGCCTGTTACTGTCTGCAATGTCCTCTTGCTGGCTGTCTAGGGAACAGTTGTCAGCCCCCTTGACTTTCCACACAATTCCCTGTGGCTTCATGTCTCATCTCCTGCATTCTCCTTTGCCCTGAAGCTGACCTCTGCACCTCACACTTTCTATCCCATGCCTGTCTTTTGCCTGCCCAGACCACTTTGACTTTTCTCACCAATGGCTTTCTGCAAATTATCCTAACTCCTGACATACAGTAATATAGTTTCTTATGAATTGCTGGTCTTGAACAAAGAAATCAACCAGTTCTTCTAACTGAGGAGGACATTGTACTTCTGTAACATCTTAAAAGATGCTATGAAGTCAAATGCTACTTTGATCTTAGCATGCGTGGGATAAATAAAGATTGTGATCTGATTCTGCAAGGCTGTTTACTGTTACATTACAGAAGAATGTGCATTAAGATTGATTATCTTTGGTGGAGGAGAAAAATACGGGGGATTCTTAAAAGATAAGTTAAAGAGGTTGGGCTTAGTCCAATGTTAATGGAGAAACCAGCCCTTGAACGGACGTTATAAAGGACCATTGCT